AGACCTAACAAGTGTACTCAGTACACTACAAAAGATGAGCAAGGGTCTACCTAAGACCAGCAACCACAGCTGGGACTGTGGCTTTTCCTTCCCATGTCGCCTTGGCTGCCCTAGAAATCATTTTGTAGACCAGGCTGGGCTCAAACTCACAGAGATCAGCCTGCTTCTGCCTCCCCACTGCTGGGGTTAAAGATGTGCATCACTGCTGCCCAGCGGGACTATGTCTTAAACATTGCACACACACATGTTCTGAATGAGTGAATAACAAAGGCAAAGCACAAAGGGAACATTAGATTAAATGAGAAATGACAAGAATAACGTTCTAAGATAAAGCACTCTGCTAAGACACTTCAAAGGGGTCCAGTGCAAAGGAGAAATGCTTATGAGCAATGGTGATTCCCTCTTCACTCAGGTTTAAGGCTGCAAAAAGGGATAGGGCAGTGGCAGTCACCTGAACAGTAATATAATAAATTATTAAGTATGCTAAGTATTAATATAGTAAATATATTCAAGACAAAAATAACGTTCAACTTAGTCTTCCAAAGCTAAAACTTCAGAGTTCATCTGCTCCCTGTTCTTGTTTACAACCAGAATTCTCAAGCCAACCGCAGCGTTCAGAGGTCACTGTGAGGCCCAGGCTGGCCTCCAGACCCTGACCCTACATCCTCACCCGGCAGCCATGTCAAAGGCAGAGTAACCAGTACTTCTGAAGCGACAGATGTAAAGGTTAAATGACAAAACCATATCCAGCCCATGGCAGTTGCGGCCTCTCCACCAGCAGGCATTCCACTTCTCCAAGCTCCACCTCCACACCTATAGGATACTCTGTTTCCATTTCCCATCTTTTCTTCAGATGCCGGCTAAATCCCTAGACAATCCTGTCCTAACACCCGGGGTGCTCTCATTCCCACACTTCTCTCAAGATGCTCCTCAGATTCCAAGACACTCTCTCAGAATCCCACTCTGAGCCTGACTTCTTGGACCTGATCTCAGAAGACACAACACTATCTCCTTCTTTCAAGCACCAACCAAAATCTGTAACTTTCCTGCCATTTTTAATCTTAAGGTCCAATAAAATGGTCCTTGAGCTTACAAAAAAGAAAAAATATAAGAAAAATGCTTGAGATTACATTATGTTTTCTAATGACTCCTATGAAAAACAAAACACCATGAAAATTACTATCTACCCTCAACTGAAAAAGCAGAGTTGAACCAATACAGTATGACTTTTCCTACCATGTATCAAAATGACGAATTCAGAAAGTTAGCATCAGCAGTCAGACTGCTGTCTTTCATGTCAGTGATGCCTAAGGATAGCAAAAGAAGGAAAGCATGCTCCTAAGAGCCCATTAGTGTCACCAATCAACTTGTAAGACTTCCACAAACAGTTATTTCATACAATCACCATCTCCTTTGCAGCTTGAGAAAACAACAGCCCTACAGCCCACACAGACACCCCAGGTCCCTACAGCCCACACAGACACCCCAGGTCCCTACAGCCCACACAGACACCCCAGGTCCCTACAGCTCACAGACACCCCAGGTCCCTACAGCCCACACAGACACCTCAGGTTCCCTACAGCCCACACAGACACCCAGGTCCCTACAGCCCACACAGACACCCCAGGTCCCTACAGCCCACACAGACATCCCAGGTCCCTACAGCTCAACAGACACCCCAGGTCCCTACAGCTCACACAGACACCCCAGGTCCCTACAGCTCACACAGACACCCCAGGTTTTCAAGTCCTTCCTGTAGGATGTGGCTGGGGTTAGTGCTCCTTTGTTCTCGAATCCTCAGCTTCAGCATCCTCACCTCCAGTCACATCTGAGAGTAATACAGCATCACTTCCTTTCCTGTCCTCTTTAAATCCAGATACTTACAACTCATCTACACATACTTACATAATTAAGACACACAATATACAAAGAAGAATAATGGCCTTCTCTAAGGTAGTCTATAAAAGGTATTTAATATATAGACATTTATAGTTTAATTAGGACAACTACTGTTCAGCACTACTGAAGACAAAGGTAAAGTCTCCTCTGTGAGATAAAATTGTACAGCTAGTGTCAGGGGTTGAAGAAGAACAAGAGGAGTTCACGAGGTAACTTAAAAAACCAATGTTGCAGGAACATATATAATAAAAGCATGCAGGTAAGGGGGTAAGGGTGGGGTGGGGGAAGGGGAGAGGGGGAGAGAGAAGGAGAAGGAGAGGGTTGGGGAGAGCTTAGGGGAGTGGGATAGTTGAGATGGAGGAAGGACAGACATGGAAGCAGGGAAGAAGATAACTTCATCAAGGGAGCCATTTTGGGGTTGGCAAGAGGCTTGGCTCTAGAGGGGTTCCCAGGTGTCCATGAGGATGTCCCCAGCTAGGAGCCTGGGCAGTGGAGGAGAGGGGCCTGAACTGGCCTTGTACTGTAGTCAGACTGATGACTATCTTGAATATCACCATAAAACCCTCATCCAGCAACAGATAAAGACAGAGACCCACATAGGAGCACTGGACTGAGCTCCCAAGGACCAGTTGAAGAGCAGACAGAGGGAGAAGATGAGCAAGGAAGTCAGAACCGTGAGGGGTTGGTCCACCCACTGAGACAGTGTGCCTGATCTAATGGGAGCTCACCAAAGCTAGCTGGAATGGGACTGAACGGGCATGGGATCAAACTGGACCCTCTGAATGTGGCTGACAATAGGGGACTGAGGGGCCAATAATAATGGCACTGGGATTTGTCTCTACTGCATGTACTGGCTTTTGGAGATCCTAGTCTATTTGGATGCACACCTTCCTAAGCCTGGATGGAGGGGGGAGGGCCTTGGACTTCCCACAGGGCAGGATACCCTGCCCTCTCTTAGGACTGGAGGGGAAGGGGGGATGGTGAGTTGGGGGAGCAGGAGGGAAATGGGAGGAGGGGAGGAAGAGGAAATTGTGAATGGTATTATTTATAAAGCAATAAAAAAAGAGAAAATAAAACAAAACAAACAAACAAAAAGCATGCACGTAATTTATCACATGCAAAGCCATCTCACTGTTCTCCTCCTCTGAGGCTACAGAATGACCAACTTTCCCTTCACCCTGTACCCTAAATCCGACTAGCTGCTGCTTACACATTACGGCTTATGTCAGATTTCCATAGAGGCGCCTCAGATGGTCCAGGTTCTTGAAGAAAACGGACGAACAACTTGTTTACTTGTTCCTGTCTTTACCTCCACCGCCCCTGAGGTCTAGAATGTATCCTCTATCCTCAGATTTAGCTGTTGCAGTCAACTCTGAACTGCCCTCAAGCTAACCGTTCGCTCTCTTTGATATTCCCACACTTGTATTTACCCGTTAGCCAATGGATTCCTTAAAATAGCTGTCATTCTATCTAGCTCCCTGATGTCCCGATTTCAAAATGCTGAACATGGATCTCTTCCCTGTGTCCCCCAAAACATAAAGGACTTGGAGCGCACATTAACAGATAGATTTATCAGTCAATTGTAATGTGCATATCTGCAGGGCTAAGGCAGGAAGGGTATATGTTCAAGGCTAGTCTGGGCTACACATTAGGAAACTGTCTCAGCAAAAATAAGAAGAAATAACATCAAATAAACTAATAACGGTATCAAGCTTACTGGCTGGGCCTGGTTACATTTTCCAGGTACAGAGTGCTACACCTAAGTGTGCACTGAAATGTGTGCTTCTGAACTAGGAAAATGAGGGTGCAAAGTGCATGTAAATGCACAATCATCAATTCAAAACTGTTTCATTAGAGGTACCATCATGCCAGGTGATGATGGCGCACGCCTTTAATCCCAGCACTCAGGAGGCAGAGGCAGGCAAATCTCTGAGTGAGTTCCAGGATAGCCAGGGCTACACAGGGAAACCCTGTCTTAAACACCCCCCCCCAAAAAAAGTACCATAACAACTAATTATTCCTACAACTAATTTTTTCTAGGACTCTTGTCACAGGAAGCTTTTGATTTTGTGTTAAGTGCTGGTTTTTAAAGGATGAGGGAGTAAAGAGTGGGCTGAGCTGCAACCAAGAAGACGTATACAGGATCTACCTTCTTGGTCTCTATGAAGGGTTGCAGCCATCCTGACCTCCTTCCCTCTATGATCTCACTAGAGTCAGGAAAGAACTTGTCAGGGGCAACTCGGTGACATAATTTTCACTCAAGAACAACAATTTTCTCCCTTTGAAAAACGAACAGCAGCTACCCTCTATCAATACTGTCATCCAGTATTATCCAAAAAGAAAACCCACGCTGTAAACACCATCAGTGAACGTGGCCTCTAGACTCTCAACCTCCTGTCCCAGCCCCGAGTCCTGGGAATGCGGGTGTCCACCACCACCACATCCACTAGAGAGGCCTCAGTGACCTCTCATAGATTAGAAACAACACACGGATGAATTAGACTATGAAGAGTCCTGATGCCAAGCACCGCCTCACCCCAACATTAAAAACGTGCATACACTGAAACGGCATTAAGCATCACTAATCCTTGGACCTGTCATTTTGACTTCTTAAAACTTAAGGTTCACAGGCATCAACGGCCAAGTGCATTCTCAACCTTTGCTTCCAACATATTTATTGCAAATGACATCAACTTAAAGGTCTCCCCCAAATTCCACACCCCCCCACAATGGTTAAGAACAGCCTTCCTCTCAATTTCCGTGCGGTGAAAACTTTAAAAAAAAAAAAATCCCAACAATGTACTAAGGGATTCTGCCATGAAGGAAAGTAAGAATTTCCACAGCAGCCCTCCTAGGAGCCCTTGGGTCAGTGCAAGTTAGTGTGTTTTGCCCTATAATGATAACCTCATAAAACAGGCTTTCACGACTTACCAGTTTTAGTGGGATAAACTAGTGTAGAGAAACCCTAGTTTTCTAGAAAGATTTTCAATATAGCATTACGATTTTCCGAGAGCTTCTAGAATACTTTGGGAGCTACAGCTTAACTTCATCCTGGTTACAGGTGCCAGCACGTTCATAGGAACCGACCAGGGTGCAGAAGACTGCGTTTTTGGCGTTAGGAGAGCCCGGCTCTCACTAGAACTCTCCGCCGACGTCGATGGAGAAATATGGCAACGAGAGGGGGCGGGGCAGACAATGGAATAAACTTTTTGTCCCAACTGTTCGGTAGGTCCGAGCAGCCCGGAGCTGGCGACCCCAGCGCGGGGCGTTAGCGACCGAAAGCGTCGACGGGGAAGGCACGTCTACCTCTGGCCGCCGGGAGGAGGGCGGTGTGCCGTCCGTCCGCGTCCTCGCTCTCCCTCCTTCGGGCACCGACGCCCAATCTCACGCACGAGCGGGTTCCGGCTGCTCCAAAACTTCTCAGCCAAGTCCCCGGAGACCGAGCGAGCGCAGGGCTGGGCGAGCCGCAGCAGCTGCAGCCGAGACGCGGCGTCCGAGCCTGCAAAGCGACACCGAGTCAGGTGGGCGCCCGGCCGGCCGCACCTGTCACTCCCGCGGCCCCGCGGCGGACGAGGCCTGCGGCCCGCACTCTCCCGCAGCCTCCGCGGCCCGCTCGCCCCGTTCGCCCCGGCCGGCCCGGTTCCCCGCCCCAGGCCGCACTCGGCCGCGGCGCCTCAGCCGCGAGCGGCGGGGGCTCCGCGGACGGACTCACCGGGCCTCGCCGCGGCGCGGCCGCTCTCCTCTCCCCGCCGCTCCCGCGCAGCCCCGGGCGTTGGGCGCGGGGCGCGGGGCGTCCGCAGTAACGGGCCCGCGGCCGGCCGAGTGAGCGCGCGGTGGGCGGGCGGTCGGGCGGAGCCGAGCGGACCGGCAGGCCTGGCGCCCTCAGCGGCGCGCGGGACTTCTTTCCTGAGGGTCGCGGTGCTGCGCGGCGGACGCGGACGCCGGCGCCGAGGAGAGGTCCGCGGGTGACGGACCGCGGAGGACCAGAACCACCTGCTGGAGGAGCCGCGCTACGGGGGCCGCGCAGGGTCCAAACGGCTCGCGTCTGGCTGCGGCTCCGCGGTCGTCGGGGTCGCGGAGCGGCCGCCGAGGTGTGAGGCCTTCCGGGACCGAGGCTTAGGCCTCCGCCCACGCAGCGCGGCGGGATCCCTGGGCTCTCGGGGGGCCCAGGGGTGGAGGAGGACCTCCAGGAGGTGGAGGAGGGCGGTGCCGGGATGCAAACAGCCGGGCGGCCTGGGATTCCCTGGGGGAAAGAGGAGCGCACAGTCTCACCGCCCCAAGCACCTACCGGGTCTCTGTTTAGTTTTGCAAGCAAAGTTAAGCGGCTCACCCAAAGCCCGCAGCTAAGGGCGGAGCTGCAGCGGTCTTGCCTGACGCTGTCCCGCACAAGTCGCTTCCATGGGGAGGATGCTGCAGGCAAAGAGAGGAGTTGGAGTTATCCTCGCTCCCAGAGATAAAAACCAGAGAAAATCCCAAGCCACGAGAGGGGCCTTGTGGAAAAACACAGAACTACGCGGGATCCGAGGACTGCGTGCCTCTGTGGGGCAGCATCAGTGACGGGGGTGGGGAGGGGGGAGGAGGCATTTGTAGTTTGCCTGGGAAGAGGTGGAGTTTTGCAGGGAGACCTCGGGGCCTTAAGTGGAGGGTTTTTGGACACCGAAGATGCCAGAGGTTGGGGGCATGTTGACAAGGGAAAGAGTTGGTATTTAAGGCACAATTTTGTTTTTTAGGCTTAGAAGTTTGGAGAAAGAAAAGAAGGCTGTTGCTTTCTAAGTGAAGCAAATGTCAGAGGTGGAAAATGGACAGCCCTATGTAGACCAGGGGCTGTACAGCTCTCGAGGTGTGAGCCCCACTTGAGAAGCTGATCCAAAAAGTGAATCTGAGGTCAGACTCACAGAGAGATTGATGTGGGGACCTGTTGCAGGGAGACTGCTTGTTGGTACCCGGCTGCTCAGCAGTAGATCCGAAAATCTTTAGGTTTTTATGTGGATGTAGTTGCCTCCTCATTGGGCACCAATTTGTAGGAGGAGAGAGCTGCTTGTTGGTTCCCGCTGCCTAGAACCAAAATAATCACACAGAAACTGTATTAAATCACTGTTTGGACCATTAGCTCTAGCTTCTTATTGGCTAACTTTTATATATTAATTGAACCCATTTCTATTAATCTGTGTATCACCATGTGGCTGTGGCTTACTAGCTAAAGTTCCGGCATTCGCTTCTGGTGGGGCTCCATGGCTTCTCTCTGACTCCGCCTTCTCTCTCCCAGCATTCAGCTTAGTTTTCCCCACCTAGCTCTGTTCCCCTATGGCTCTGCTATAGGCCCAAAGCAGTTCCTTTATTTGTCAATGGTAATCACAACGTACAGAGGGAAATCCCACATCAGGGACCCTAAGGGGGGACAACAAGAAAGAACTTTAAATGATTGAGACATGATGCGAAGGTTGCAGCTTGATTAGTTAGGGTTAGAGAGAGAGAAAAATAGGGGCTTGAAAATAATACTTAGAAAGGAGATAGCTACTATTTAAAAATATTTATTTATTTAATTTCCAGGCTGAAGTTTCCCCTCCCTCCTCTCCTCTCAGTCCCTCCCCCCACCTCCTCTGTTCCCATCCCTCAATGCACTCCTCTGTTTCTGTTCAAAAAGGGCACGATATCCCATGGATATCAACAAAACATTGCATCAAGTTGCCATAAGACTATGCACCTCCCCATGTACAGCATGGATAATAAAAACCCAGAGATAGATATCGGGGTTCAACCTGAAGCTATTACCTCTATGAAATCTTCAGACTGAAAGAGAGCTAGTTTCTGTCTCTTCTCATCTTATATTCCTCTCTAGTGCTGGGATTAAAGGTGTGAGCCACCACTGCCTGGCCTGTATGGCTGACTAGTTGTGGCTGTTTTGCATTCTGATCTTCAGGCAAGCTTTATTTATTAATATACAAAGGAAAAATGATGAATACCCCATGTATTAAGGCTGGGCAAGGTACCCACTATTCAAAGTAGGGCCCCAAAAGCCAGTAAAAGAGTCAGAGACAGCCCCTGCAGTCAGCTACTTGGTTTTGTTTTGGGTTTTTTGTTTGTTTGTTGTTTTCAGAGACAGGGTTTCTCTGTGTAGCCCTGGCTGTCCTGGAACTTGCTCTGTAGACCAGGCTGGCCTTGAACTCACAGAGATTTCATCTGCCTCTGCCTCCTGAGTGTTGGAATTAAACATGCACCACCAATATCCGATTTCTTTCTTTTTTTTCCAGCTACTTTTAAAAAATGTGCGCTGGTGTTTTGCCTGCATGTGTGTCTTTGTGAGGTGTCAGAAGCTCTGGAACTGGAACAGACAGGTGTGAGCTGCCATGTGGGTGCTGGGACTTGAACCCAGGGACCCTGGAAGAGCAGACAATACTCTCAGCCACTGAGCCATCTCCCCAGCTCCCAGACAGCTGCTTTTAAAGAAAAGACTAACAGTTTATATTTGGACCTTTGGAGGGGCTGAAGGCAGCCAAATAGATGTGGTCACTAAGAAGTTGAAAAGGAAAGTTCTGAAATAGGCAAAAGAACTGAACTGGAAAGTATACCGGGGGCTGGGGAAATAGTTGAGTGGATAGTTTGAATTCTATCCTCAGAATGAATGCAACATCTCCCAGCATGGTAGCATGCTCTTGTCCCAGTGATTAGCAGGCAGAGACAGGTGGATCCCTGGGTCTTGCTAGGCAACCTGTCTCAAAAAACAAATAAACAAAAAACCAAGGTGGACAGCACTTGAGGATTATAAACAAAGTTGTCCTTCTAGCCTCCCCCCGCCACGTACACACAATCCACCTGCTTGTCCATAAGCACCCGCCCCCAGACACACAAGAAATAGGTTGGAAACTCCCCAGCCTACCTGTATATTATTCAGAGAGAAAGGGTAGACTCAGTTTTCAAATACATTGTTAGGGTCTTGCTATTCCAAGTATGGCCACATCTCTTTCACCAGCATGTCTGTTAGATATATGGGGATCTCAGCCCCAAGGCAGACCTGCCAACTAACATCCTCAGCTTGAAAGAAACCGCAGGAGGTGATCCACACCAGCATGTGGGAAGCCAGCAGAGGAGGAAGAGCAGCAGTTGAGTAGGGCCGGAGTACCAAAGTGGGGAGACTTCAGTCTCAAAGCTGGGAACAGAGGAGTGGGGGGTCAGTGTCACAAACTGTGCAAGTGAGGAGGATGAGGGACAACGGTGTTTATGGCTTGAGATCTACGAGCATCACAGTGGGAACTTAGAGACTCCCACTTTCTGACTGGGGATTCCGAGAGACAGTCCTTGCCATATGCGCACACTTGGGACGGAGAGACAGAGAAGTCTCTATGGTTGCTTCTGCTTTCTCTGCAGAGTGAGGAGCAAGGTCATCTTTTGTCTGTCACAGTTCACATCCCTGCCACAGGCCGCTTTTCTCAGCCTCTCTCAGTATGCCTACAGCAGGACCTTGCCTGCCAGTCAGGTCAGAGCCTTGAGTGCTGTACTTCCTCCAGGTGTTTCTTCCTCCTGCCAACTGGACCCTGCACACAGCAGCTCGGCTTCAGTTATCTAGATGTCTACAAGTACATGGAATTCGCAGAGCCACAAGAAAGTGCCTGGATGAAGAAGGGCTTCCACCTCTTGATCCAGAATACCCAAATGTGTGAATGATGTGTGGATTTGGGTTGAATTGGAGCCTTAGGACTTTGGGGCCCATTTGCTGTAGCCATTGAGCCCCCTCTACTTAACTTAAAAGACTCATGAAGGCTAGAACTCGGCATGTCTGAGTGAAGACAAGGGTTCAGACTGAGCTTTCCAGACACCACTAAACCCTCCAGGGAAGGACCAAGAATCTATCGTGAGCCTAGCCGGCCAATCATACGTGCTTCTCCAGTCATGTGCAAGCACTGAGCAGGACAGGAAGTGTACTAAAGAAGGACAAGGTACTTGAAGGTAGAAACAAAGGAAGCATTGTTATGTCAGGCGTGGTAGGAGGGAAGGTTAAGAGGGTGAGGAGTCACTAGAAATACAGTAAGGTTGGGGCTGGAGCGAATTCTAATTGGTTTAAAAATAAAAACTCAAAGTCAGCTATCGGGGTGAAAGTTGAAGGATCAGAGAAGCAGAGCAGTCACTAGAGTTCTTACCTCTACCAGTGCTCAGACTGAAGGGGCGATCCTGTCTCCACGAATCCTCAGACCGAACCCTGAGACTACAATGATCTCCTGTCTCCTCCCACTTTATATTCCTCTCTCCTCCCAGCCATATCACTCCTGTCTTCACTTCCCTAGTGCTGGGATTAAAGGCATGTCATCCCAATTGCTGGGATCACCTTTGTATGAGCTCTTTTCCTCTTTAAGACAGAAGCAATCTCATGTAGTCCAGGGTGGCCTTGAACTAACAGAGATCTGTCTGCCTCTCTCTCCCAAAAGCTGGAATTAAAGGTGTGTGTCACCACTGTCTGGCTTCTGTGGCTAACTAGTGACTTAGCTCAGAATTCTGATCTTCAGGCAAACTTTATTTGTTAGATTCAAACAAAACATCACTAGATTTGTTATTCTCTCAAAGAACCTAGGTGGGTCTGATTCCCAGAACCCACATGGTGGCTCACAAACATCTCTAACCCCAATCCCAGGAGATGATCTGGCCTGCCTCCACGGGTGCCAGACATGAATGTGGTGCACAGATATACGTGTAAGCAAACATCTGAAAACATTTTAAAAAATAAAATATGGTAAGATTTCTAAATTGGTACACTTGACCAGGTTAAATATTTTTTAGGATTCGGGTGCTATGGAACAATCTTTGTACACTGTAAATATTTATTTCTTTCACTGTTACTAAAAAGTTGATTGGTCAATGCTAGGTAGGATTTTTGGGGCAGAGAGAATGCTGGGAAGGAGGGCAGAGTGGAATGAGTCTCCAGACAGACAGAAAGGAAGCAGGACATGAGGAGAGGTAAAAGCCATGAGCCTCATAGCAGCCCATAGATAGAAATAGGTTAATTTAGGTTGTAAGAGCTAATTAGTAATAAGCCTGAGCTATTGGCTGAGCATTTATAAGTCTCTGAATGGTTATTTGGGAAGTGGCTGGTAGAACAGAGCTGATTTTGGTTCTGACAAAAAACTCATCCTACAAATGGCACTCAAATGTCCAACACCTACATCCACATAAGACCTGAGAAAGTTTTAAAAAGGTTCTAAACATACAAAAACCATGCCAAACATTGCCTCCCTAGTCTCATGTCTCTGATGCCAGCCACAGTACAGAGGCACATCTCCTCTCGGCTGCCAGCATGCCATTAGCTAAGCCACATGGTGGGTTCCTACAGTCTCACATGGGCTATGGTACAGACAGGTGTCTCCTGTCTGCTGCCTATGGGTTGAGGTGCCAGCTTGAGCTCTGCCAGTGTACTGCATGGTGGGTTGGGGGTTTTGCTTATTCAGAGTGAAAAGGTTACAGCTGCTCAGTAAAGACAGATCTAGACAGAAAAAAACCTAAACAGGTTACAGTGTGTTAAAAAATGCAGAAAGGCTTGGGATAGAAAAGAAAACGAATATACAGTCATAGAAAATAATATATATATATATATATTTGAAATAATAAAATAAAGCCCTTAAAATGGAGTAAAGTAATATAAAAGTGAAGCCAGATAAAGTTGGGAAGTACACAAAGGATCTGGATCCTGAATGTTATTGTATTGTCTTTCAATTTTTTGAGTGCTAATGAATGAGTGATAACCGCTAAGAAACATTGGATTATGGAAACTGCTAGGTTAGACCAACCTATATATTTTTAAAATATCTTGATTTCAAAATGGAAGTCAAAAAGTGTGTTGCATTGGGAGAGAGGTTGTGCTTTTATTTCCATAGGAAATTAGAGGCTGTGGCTTCATTCCAGGTTAAAGATGATCAGGTCTGATTAAGGAAGACCTCCTGAAAAGGTATAAAGAAATAACCCTTAAAAAACAACAAAACACATAACATATATTTAACCTGCTAAAACAGAAAACAAGTCATCTTTGGCTAACTTGTGTACAACACAGTCTATACTTGTACTAATACAGAAATGTATGTTTTCTTTAAAAGTTTATGGGACTGGAGAGATGGCTTAGCAGTTAAGAGGACCGACTTCTCTTCCAGAGGTCCTAAGTTCAATTCCCAGCAACCACATGATAGCTCACAACCATTAGTACTGAGATTTGGTGCCTTCTTCTGGCCTGCAGGCATATATGCAGGCAGAACGTAATATACATAATAATTAAATAAATCTTTTTTTTTAAGTTTATGTATTTTCAGAACAAAGGGACCACACACCAATGAAAATGAATGACCCAGGTGATCCAGCGTTTCAGAGTGCCTCTGTTGCAGTTTCTCAGAGTTCTGCATCCAGAACAGCTTCAAGGATGCTGGCTGAGATGGTCCAGCCTAACAAGCGACTCCAGTCAAGACTTAACAATTATTCTGAATTTTCTCGGGGTTCCCAAGATGCCAGTGCCCACAAACAACAGGAAGCAGTCTGGAGAATGACACCCACATTCCCAAAAGATGGATTATTGATGTTTGCTATCATTTAAGGGGGGTTGGTTACAAATTGTTATCAGTCTTAGTAAAAAGAAAAAAAAAAGACTAAACAGAAGAGTTAAATTCAAAGATCACTTTCTAAAGGAAAAAAGGGGATGTGATATAGGAATGATGGAAAAAGCATAGATTACTGAACCTTCTTTAATCCAAAAAAACCTCTTAATCTCAAAAATATTTTACATTGGTATGGATTTTTTATTGATATAAATTTAAAGTTATTTTTTATACTTATGTATTTTCTACTCTTGTTTAGGGTATTGTACTCATAAAGCTCATTTAAAAATATAATGTATAAGCCGGGCGGTGGTGGCGCACGCCTATAATCCCAGCACTCGGGAGGCAGAGGCAGGCGGATCTCTGTGAGTTCGAGGCCAGCCTGGTCTACAGAGTGAGTTCCAGGACAGGCTCCAAAACCACAGAGAAACCCTGTCTCGAAAAACAAAAACAAAACAAAAAAAAAAAAAAAGAAAAATATAATGTATAATTAAGAAATACAGGTTAGTAGTCATCTATAATAATCAAAGTTGTAGTCATATTAGGAATGTTTTCAAGGCTAAACAGATAGATAGATAGATAGATAGATAGATAGATAGATAGATAGTCTTCATACACTTCAAAGACCTATGGCATTTAAAATGTTTTAATGACCAAGGCCAGCCTGGTCTACAAGAAGTAGTTTCAAGACAGACCTGTTATACAAAGAAACACTGTCTCAAAAACAAAAAAGGTTTTAATGACATAAGACTTTTCTTGACAGTGAAATATGTCTGCTTCTGGCAGAACCAATTTGTTTCAGTGAAGATGATGGGCATTGAAGAACCTTTGTATAGAGTTTGGTCTTTCTTTCTTTCTTTCTTTCTTTCTTTCTTTCTTCCTCTTTTTCAGGGACAGGGTTTCTCTGTAGTTTTAGAGCCTGTCCTGGAACTAGCTCTTGCAGACCAGGCTGGTCTCGAACTCACAGAGATCCGCCTGCCTCTGCCTCCCAAGTGCTGGGATTAAAGGCGTGCGCCACCACCGCCCGGCTGAGTTTGCTTTCTTTGTGGCAAAAGCTAGCCATTTGGGGAAAGAATTGCCCTTGCCCCAATTGCTAAAAGTATGCCATTCAAACTGGACCAGCAAGATGGCAAAAAAAGTGACTGTCTCCATTCTTAAGGAGTCCAGGTTTGCTGTAACTTGGCCAATTAAAATCAATCAGATCTTTAATATCTAGCCTCCTTGTTCATGGCAGACACTAAATTTTCTACTTTTAGATGCTTGAAGTTTAACTTAGAGACTTACACATGCTAGGCGAGCTCTGTGGCACTGAGCGATAGTCCCAGCCCCCACTCAGAAGTATCTGGGAGTCTTCCTCCCCTCTTATTGGTTCACAATCCCACAGAACTCTTCAGACTGTAGGTTCTACTCCCTCAAGTCCTGTCCTCCCTGTTTGCCTGGTCAGGTCTCAGATACTGCTGTCTAGAGCCGAAACATTTCTAGCTACACATAAACTAGCAGGAAGGTGCTCCCTCTGGAAACCCACGCGGGACACACTGACACGGTAATGTCAGAGTTGATCTGCCTACTTCTGTATCTGTAGCATAGATCAGGACATGCCGGTGGTCTGCCGGTCTATCCATAAGATCAGCTGCAAGAAATGTCATCTTTCCAGCTATGGTTCAGTTTCTCTGAAGTAACTATTGCTAAAGGAAGAAATAACAAATAGCCAAAAATACTAGTCAAAATCCCAGTAAAA